ACCCACCCTTAGCACCGGCAGCAGAGACACCAGGATCTCTGTGCAGTCTGAGGTTATTCCATCAACTCAGAGATCCTCATACCTGTGATTCCTGTGCCAAGTTCTTAGGGACTCCCATGGGTGCTGTGTCTGCTTGATACTGCTGCTGCTTTTTGGGTACAATACATCTCTTTCATTTGACTTTCTCCCATGCTAGCAGAAGACTGATTCAGACCCTGTCTTCTCAGTTTGCTGTCAGCTTCTTTACTGGGAGGCCTTTTATTTGTTGTCTTCTTTTTGGCTGAGTTCATTCTTTTTGTCTTTCATTTGGGAGAGAACTTGGTGGGGTAGCGTCAGTCTTCTGACATTTGTTGGGAACTCACTTTCTACCCTGGTATGTGGTCAGTTTCAGAAATGCTCCACGAACTGCTGAAAGAAGCAGTGTCTTGCTCCCGAAGAACAGCATTCTGTACACCCCCAGATGGGTCCCGGGTAGCTGGGTCACAGCCTCCTGCCATCACAGTTGTAAATCTCGTCTCTCTTTTGAAGTCTGGCTCTTTACTCTCTGTTCTGTGGGGCCATGGGATAATTCTGGAGTCCCCTTGACTGTGTAAGGAGGGATTCTGCCAGCACCAGTGAGCTACCCAGCTGCTTTCTGCTTATGGCTGTCTGAATTCCTTGTCCTTTTATGAAGTCACACATTATTTAACAAGGGGCATATGTTCCAAAGATGTATGTCGTTAGGCTGTTTTGCCGTGCAAATACCATAAAGTGAACCTCTATGACAGTAGCTATAGTAGTACCAGGCTATGGGCTTTTACAATTCCACCATTGCTGTGCTGTGTACAGCTGTATCTGCATCTTTAAAAACATTGCTGACTCTGGGCGTGGTGGCACACCCCTTTAATTCCATCACTTGGATGCAGAGGCAGGTGGAGCTCTGTAAATTTAAGGGCATCCTGGGCTACATGCTAAATTCTGGGCCATCAGGGCTACATAGTGAGATCCTGTCTCCAAGTACCTTGCTTGTGACCTTATTCTTAGCTAGGCCATCGGTCCATTTGCATTTATTGTAATTTTACTATATTTCACCATGTTTTTGCCATCTTTGCACTCTGTCTAGAAATTTTAGAAATGAGTCATATTTTTCCTTCTTTCTTGACCCATTTTGATTATTTTTCACCCAACTATGAATTAGAATTTATTCAACTTCCATAATGAATACTTTAAAGTATAGAATTTATTTATCAAACCTAGAATTCAACTGAGTATGGTAACAAATGTCTATAATCCTGGTACTCCAGAGACTAATGCAGGAGAATCAGGAATTCAAGGCCAACCTGGACTACAGAATGATATCTTGCTCCAACAAGCAAACATCTAAAATTAATCTTCATTTTGGTCTTCCCCAAATGTCTCAGTCTTGAACTCTCAGATCCACCAATATCCACCTTTATCCCACCCTTGGTAGTCCTTGCTGCTGTCTTAGTCACATCATTATATGCATATTTTTCTGATTTAGAGGGCCAAGCCATGACATTGATTTCTGTAGGCCCAAGTTCAGGACAGCATTCTTCTCTCTCACCATATATATTCCACCAGGCTGGGGTCTCCTTCACATCCATTCTTCTGTTTTCTTTAGTAAGGTTAGCACAACTCAAGGTCAGCTACAAGCCAGGACTCTCAGAGGCAGCGCAGTGGTCCCCTCGCTCTTCCAGGATCCAGCTGGTTTCTTAGTCTTTGGCCTCTTGGGCTCTGAGCATTCCTAGCCACTCACAGGTTTCTGTCCAACAGCAGTACTTGACCATGCAAATGTTCTTTTAATCCACTTTCCTCCTAGTTAGCACTGGTCTGTAGGCTGAGAGTAGAGCAGGCTCCATAACCAGGGCTGACAGCTCTTTGGCCTTTTCCATTTCCTTCTTGTTGGTTGGCAGGGTTAGTTACTTGCTGTAGTTCAGCTTCTGGCTTATCTGAAGATATCACAGAAAAAAGACTGACAGATGAATTTCCTAAAAGTGTTTACTATGGGTTGTAAGAATATGTTTATCAATTTTCCAGAACTTTCATTCAATATCTTATAGTGACTTTCTCAGAGGTGACAGAAGGCAGCATCGCCTCAGCCTCCCTGGGCACCTGTTGTAGAGGTACTTGTTGGAGTACAGCTGTCGGTACGTGGGTCTCCACTTTTTGTTTGCATCGTTCACTTCATCTTTTCCATTCCTACGTACGATAGGAGAGATGCTTCTTCTTTCTAGTATTTTTCTCATGAGTGATTATTTTCATGACAGCCCTTCTCAAACTTTAGCTATGTCTTCTTCCCAGAATTATCTTCAATCGATGCTACCAATGCCAGGCTATCCCTAAACTTGAGCCCAGCATGGTTCTGGCCTAGAACTAGAGTTGTTTTATCCTTAGGAAAACTAGGAATGAGCTTTTAGAGTGTGGTCAGTCACTCTTGACCAGCATCTTCTCCAGCAACAAGGCCCTGGGAAGGCTTGGCTGAAGCTCTGTGGTTGATTGTGTGAAAGCCCAGAAATGATTTTCTTTCCAATTTTTGAGAAGTATCCTGGTTAACCTTGGTACTCGTTAGTACTGTTTACTGCTGCTTCCCTCAGGGTCTTTTCTAGGCTGACTTATATGGATTTTTCTGTTTATAACAATGTGTACACTTTCATTACTGTGCAAGCTTAAGAACTAGTTAGGGAGACTGTGGGCAAGTTCAGAGTGGGGGTAGAGTTGTATTGTGTGGTCCTAGCTGAAGACAGGAGGACTGATAAGGTAACTACAAAGGAGGTGGCCCAAAGTCACTGTGGTGACAGCCAGGGCAGCATAGAACAATGGTTGGCTAGTTGGGGGCTGTCAGTGGTGAGCAGCTCTTTCTTCAGCAGTGGACCTTGAGGATGCTCACCAGCTCTTCCTGGGGGATGGCTCTTATCCCCAGCATTTCCAGAAACTACTCAGTTTCCCAGAGAACAGAAAAGATCATGTTGATCACTTTGACTGTTTTCCTTCCCAGCCCACCCCAAGATTCAATGACTACCTCAGTGAATATTGCCACAGGGTTCCTAACTGGTCAGTACCATGACTCCTTTCCTGACCTTACAATTTTCATTGGATCCTGCGTTCCCTGTGCAGACATAGAGATGGTGAGAGGGTCTCTAAGTGTGGCATTAAAAGTGCCCTTAATACTCATCAACTCACTGTCCCCTCAATGTCAGGCCAAGTGCTGGCATACTCACCTAGGCATGGACACACGAGCACGTACTCATGTGCAGCCCACCAGTTCTGGAGACAGTGAAGAAGAGCTGGCTATGTGAGGGTAATTGCTGGCACTAGGAACAGATTGCTGTTTCCGGGGCTCATTCTCCAAACAGACCCCATCAGGAACTAGCACAGAGCGTCCTCTGTTCCAGAACTCTGTGTAGGAAGTTGGAATTGAGAACCTTCTCGCCCACTCATGACCGGAACTTTCCCACAGTGAGGGGTGGAAGAGGACCAGCCAGCTCTGGGAGGGATGGCAATTAGAGGCCCTGGTGCTGTCATGTGAGTGACGTCTGGACTACTCCCTAGGTGTCTCAAGCCTTAGAATGTGCTATGGCCAAGCCTGCCTTTCATTTGGGTAGTGGACATACTGACTCTGAGTGCTATGTGTCCCTTACTGCCAGCTGTCTTGACATCAGCACAGGCCATTAACTGTAGTTGTTCTCTGCTAATACTCAAATGGAGACTGAAAAGACCTGCCTGCCTGTGCCCTACGTGGTAGTAAAAAGTATGATAAAATGCCCAGGGAAGGGCAGTTACTATCAGGCGATGCAAGCCACATACCTGTGTATTGCCTCCACTATATACCAGGCATCCATAAAGAAGATTGACAGAACCAGGCATGGTGGTGCATATCTATAATACTAGCACTGGAGAGGCTGAGGCTGGAGAATCAGGAGTTCAAAGTTAGCCTCCAGTATATAGTGAGTTTGAGGCCAGCTTGAACTACATGAGACATTGTCCAAAGAAAGAAAGAAAAACGGTAGTAGCTGTTTGGAAGCAGGAAGCTGTAAGACAAAGCTACTTCCTTTTTTGGCAGCTTCTATATGTTCTGCAGGTCCTAAACATCAAGTCCATAACTAACCATGTAGGTACAGGAGCATAGGGACATAATATACCAGGATGTCCCAGAGACAACAGTGCCCAGCTCTGGGACCCTTTGAGTAAGTGCCTATTTCTTTAATCAGGAAACAAGGTGCTGGACTCTGTCTGGGTCCACTGCCCCCTGTGGCCTGTGTGAGTCATTCTGAGGCTTGACCCTTTATGGTATCTCCTCAGCCTAGTTCCACCTGGCAAGATGGGCCATCCCCTGACAATAGAGAGAAATTGGCAGTAGTTGGTCTTTCAGCTGTGTTAATAGTGGAAACTGGACTTTCTCAGGGCTAGTTCATTAAGTAGCCAAGCCCTGGCATCACAGGAAGATGCCTCCCTGTTATTGCATTAATCAATATTCTGATGGGAATCTATCCAAACACTTGGGTACTTCTGACAGGATGGCAGTACTTTTCTCCAACCTCGCAGCAGTTTGTGAAAAAGTAAAGAGCAAAGTCATGTCAGTGGCCTAATACAGATTCTGGATACCTCCATCCCTCAGCTCCACAGAAGAATTCAGGGATCAGAAGTCATGGCCAACTGGGATGGATGAACCCAGACTATGATCACTCAGACAGGAAAGTGAGATATTCCCAAGAAAACAAATGTGAATGGAATGAGCATAGGTACCACTGGAACACTAATACAAATCTAAACATTCCACTCTGTTGAAAATAGAACTTAGAATCTACACAGAAGGCACACCAGAATGTAAAACTACAGAAAAGAACAGACAGTCCTGGAAAAGCAGCCTGTGTGTGAGAGGAAGTTCCACCATCAGGAAAGCAAAGGTGCATAGTGGATTACAAAACTAGAGTTCGCAGGACAGGAGTGGCGCATACTTTTCATCCCAGATCTCTGAATTTGAGGACAGCCTGATCTACAGAGCGAGTTCCAGGACAGCCATGGCTGTTAGACAGAGAGACCCTGTCTCGAAAAACCAAAAAAGCAAAACGAAACAAAACTAGAGTCACCTGCTCCTGTCTTCCTTCTTGTTACCGTGTGTGTGTGTGTGTGTGTGTGTGTGTGTGTGTGTGTATGTATTCTGCTTTTGTTTTACTTTGTTTTGTGTGAGTGTGGGTCTGCATGTGCCACAGTACACATTTGAAAGCCAGGGGGCCATTTATAAGGGAGTAGGTTCTCTCCTTCCACCAAGTCAGTGCCAGAGACTGAACTCTGAACTCAAGTTGTCAAGCTTGGCAGCAGATGCCTTTATCCACTGAGCTATCTCACTGGGCCTTATTTTTGTTTTTGTCTTGCCAGCTAACTCAGGCCAATCTGGAATTAAAGATCTTCCCACTCTTGCCCACTGAACACTGGAATTATTGATATGCATCATCATTCCTGGCTCTTTTTTGCTTTTTGTACTTTGAAGAGGATTTTTCTTTCTCTCTTTCCGCTAAGTGGGGTCTCTGGCAAAGACCCAATCAGAGCTAGAGTGAGGTGCTCAGCTACTAGCCTCATGGTTCTTGCTGTCCTCAGGCCCAGCAGTGGCCATTTACATGTCTGGCCTATAGTCAGAAATCCTTATACATGGCAACAGAGTGCTCTACCAGCAGTCTTCATGCTTGGGTATAGTCTGAGTCGTGTCCCCCCCCCCCCCAACACACACAGGGAGAGAGAGAGAGAAACAGATAGACAGGTCCTGAAGCTAGAGATGGTCATTTATACCTCTAGTCCCAGCACAGAAGACTGAAGCAGGAGGAATCCTATAAGGCCAACCTGGACTAGATAGTGAGTTTTTGACTAGCCTGGTCTATAGAGTGAGATCCTTTCTTTTTTTTTTAAAGGTAGCAAAAATAAGAAACAAGCTGGTATTAGCTGACTGTATTGTTCCTGTGGTTTGCTAAGTGTTTGGATCTGAGGAGCGGAGTCACGAAGAACAGCTACAGGAGGCTTTGAGAGCACCCTTGCTGCTTCCTGGGTTGCTCTGTGCTCTATTGGGTTGCAGGCATAGGACTTGGAGAATGAGGCATTGTGTGCCCAGCACACAGTTGTGCTTTCAGAATGTGAACTATGAACCAGTTCTTTGTGTGGGACTTGGAAAGCGCCTTACAGATGGCCTTGGGAGTGGACCTCAGGCCTTCTGGAAATGCTGTGTAACCAAAGACATATTCATTCTAATTCTTCCTTTAAACTCACTGAAATGAACAAAAAGAGTGAAAACCAGGAACAAGATCTCTTCTGCAGTAAATCTGAGAGCAGCCATAGACCAAAGAGGATGTCAGCCAGATGGGGAGGAAGGAGCTGCACAGTCAGTTTAGCCTGCAAAGCCAGGCTCTTGTGGAGCAGGACTGATTTTAGGGAATGCTGTTGGCGAGCAAGCATTCACTTACAAGAATGGGGTCTGTGGTTCGTCTGGAGCCTTGTAAAGGTACACTGGAGCGTCTGGTGAGAAGCAGGACTGTGCTGTCCATACTCACAGGATGAAGTCAGGAAGGAGACGAAAAGAAAGTTGCTGCTGCGGAGCTGGGCATGTTTTCTCTAGATCACTGCTGCTGTCCTCCCTCCCCTCCTTATGTGGGCCAAGTGGGCAGTCACTAGTGGATACACTGGGCCCACCCAGGCACATTAGTGCCTTGGTCACCCAGCAGATGATTGGCTCACCTAAGAGGGCCTGGTGTGACCTTTGGAAACTTCAGAGCTCATCCCCAGAGCCACACTTCCTTCAACAAGGCCACACCTTCTGATCCTTCCCAGTCCACCAACTGGGTACTAAGCATGCAAATATATGAGCCTATGAGGACCATTCTCATTCAAACTGCCACAGAAGGTGTAAGTTTGTGTTTTGAAAAGAGCAGGACCAAGATGATCGTGTGTTTTTTCTTCTTTGTTCAATGTTGAACCATCCCTGCATCTCTGGGATGAAGCCTACTTGGTCATGGTGCATTACCTTTTTGATGTGTTCTTGGATTCAGTTTGCCA